GGCAGTACATAACCCGTAATCCGGTTTCCAATGGCTTCTCGATGCTAAAGCGTTCAGCTGTAGCACCCTTCCGGTGTCTAGCTGCCATGCCACCCGAAGGAAGCACGGGACGGCCGATGTGGCACGATTTTTTTGGAAATGTGCAATTCATGGTTGTACGTGGGCTGGGATATTGCCAGGGCCGCCCACATCTAGACAGGTGGATGATTAGGGTCCTCACCCAAAGCCTTTTGCCCAAAAGCGGTGCAGTGGTGTTTGGCGGGGAATGCAAATATATTACCGTTTCTACGGAACAACCCACCACACATGTTTCAAACCCAACCCGAAGGGCAAGGGAACTGAGATCGTCAGTCATTCTAATTATTGGCCACCATGGTATGATTGTCGCGTGGAAAACCCTCCCACTATAGCTCAATGTGTCTCGGAGGTACACAGACCGTCACACTGCGGTAAGGTCCAGGCTCTATGTGACCGATCATTCAATCGTTCACAGTAAGCATATGAGTTGAATTATGGTGAAAATAATGGGATACTTATCCGTCTTTCTAAAGAATAGTTTGCAGGTTATATGCATTTAAGTGACTTATTTTCATACTGGTACAATAGATCATTTAAAGGATTTTCTATGCTTCATGGTAGGTGACTTGGAACCGCTCATTTGTTGGATCTATATTACAATATTGTAAACTCGGTCAGAAAAATCGAGCTGTATCAAAGTAGTCAATTTTACCGTGGATTTTTGCACCTAAGGTAGTGAGTTTGAACATGTGTACACTGAGGTCGAACCTACCGAAGGAGTGAAATTCATCCGTGACGGCTTGATAAGAGCTGCGAAGAGACTTGATGAAATGTAAAGAGACCCGGCTTTAGTTGGAGTAAACTATCTCGAGATCGACCAGGTTACCCAGTTTCTACATTCATTTTGTGACAGTCAGACATTTGGTTCAAGTGGACAGTCATCCAGTTTACGTAAAGAACACCAAATCCTCATGTACATCGTTCAGTCACGCAAATTGTAATCGAACGTTCCTGTACATCCTAAGGTCAGCTGACAATTGGATCAATGAATTGGTCCTATCAGGCCTGCGTTTTCTCTTTAAGCCTAAGGTTTTGAATTCTTGGTCTTGATACTTACTTACTTACTTACTTACTTACTTACTTACTTACTCCCTTACTTACTTACTTACTTACTTACTTACTCCCGCTTGCTTCAAAACAGGACTATGACGAAAATGATTTGATCTACACAAAATCAACGATTCTACAAAACTGGGACCTCAACCGTGATGGGAAAATCAATAAGGAAGAAATGCGAATGTTACTGATGGCTTACAGTCGAAATGAGTCCAGAAAATCCAAGGTCGGTTGTCTTCTCGATTTGTCTTCGAAATTCAAAGGCGCGCGAAGCAAGCGCAGTCCGGATCGTCGAGTTTAGTGATCAAATGAAGCACAGTGCTTCTCCGTCAGTACTTTATTCCGGTCATCAACAATCGCTTGCTGCTTGATCTTGCCCGAAGATGGTGAGCCAGTACTTCTTCCAGTCGTAAAATCTCATAACAAACTGCTGAAAGAAATGATGAGTACTTTATTTAAATACACGAACATCGCTGTCTTGTGATATTGTGGAAATCTATATTTCTTTGGCATATATTTTCTCGTATTTCGGGTTATCTTTGTCCTCTCTTCAAACTTTTGATGTGAAAGCTGGCCTGGGTAATCTGGTTGACACGAGTCACGCGAGACAACATCAGAGTACTGATTGTACGCGCTTCGTCTGAACAACTATGTAGTCTACTGATCCCTTCTGATGTCAAAATAGAATGAGGGGTTAGGGCAAAACGAATGTGTTATCAGGAATTTCCGTCCTCTACTCTGGTTTCGATCTTTGTTGGTTTTATTCCGAAACAAGTGTTCCGTCTTAGTATGTTGATCCGATGACCTTGTGATCGGATTGTGTTCGTCTTTCGCGGGCAGTTTTCCCAAACTGGCGGAATTTCCCTGGGCGGATGAAGTCGACCGTTAGCTTTAATAGGAGAACTGTTTTTGCCCAGTCTGTTCATCGGTGCGCTAACTGCAGCATATGCAGTTGAATCGGCAGTGCCTGGTGTAAGTTCTTCCACAATCAACAACGGGTTCTCGAATTGCGAGTTCTTTTTGATCGCAGGTGATTTGGTGTGAAATCACACATGCTCTTGATGTATGGTACAAGAATCTGATCACTTCTTTTGTCCGGCTAATTTTACCGCAATGCCTAATGCAGCCTTACATATGCTTACTGATTTGGACCACGCGATTTGTGTCCATTTTTTCCTGCAGAACATTCGCCCTTGGCCCTGTTGTTTTTTGCTGGCTACTTCAAATCTATAAGTAGTCGAATTTCCTTTGGTGTGGACAATGGATATACCGCTCCCTCGAATAAGTTCAATCTCAGAGGGAAGTGCTATCAATAACGGGGAATAATTACCTAGTTACAAGGTTATTGGTGTTTCGAAGGATGAGGCGCTACCGTCATCTTCTGGTGGTATGTGTATTTACCTCTAATACACAAAATCGGGGTTGATTGCTTGTCAGAGTTGTTCCTTACTGCCTACTACTGAATGGAAGAGGACCTTCGGTGCGGAGTTATTTATTAGATAATGTCAACTGACCAGTTACAGACTATTGGACAGGGAAGCAAAACTCTCATTTGCATCTTATTTACAAAAACTGAACATCCATCTTCTCTTGAACGTGTCTTCCAGAACTTTCCTTTGCTCAAATCCAACCAAATACTACAAAACGACTCCACAAATTCCGCAACAGATCTACATCTTCAAGACACGCAAAGCGAATTTACCGGAAGAAAACATACTAACCGCATGCCTTTCCCATCAGTAGTATCACCGTTACACTACGACTGCTTACTCCAGGTGATCTCAGTTAAGAGTACTGTGTTAAAGTGTTCAGACTCTACCGTCACCATGGACCATTTGAATTGAGAAGCTTAACGTTAACAGTAGACATCAGGAGTAGTTTGAATTAACATATTTTAGGGTCGTTGGTCAGCTTCCCCACAGGCTTTAGAGTCTGGCCGTATACTGACCATTTTTGTTCTGTATTATGGTCGAGGTTACTCCCTTTTGCGGTTCACAGTAAGTCAGAAGAACACGTAAGTGCTGACACGGGCGTACTGTGTACAAGTGGTCAACTTGGTTGGCTTTCGTGGCGGGTCAGCAAACAACCTATTCACGTGAGCAGATCAATCGGACACGCACCCAATCAGCCACTCACGCCAGATCGATGGTGGAATGACGAACGGACACACACGCGCTCAAACTCTGACACACCGAAGCAGCTACTACGCTCCCATATCTATAAATTTAACACGAGGGGAACTACACTTAGAGCCGTCAGAGTCTGAATAAGAAGAACTCAGACGCTCAAAATCATCGGAAACAAGAAAATCTACAACAGGTAGAGTTTGTCAATAGGGAACCCGTGCTATGGAATCACACGGAGACAATGATGATCGTCAGTGATGAGGATTGGGGCAAGGTAATGAAATTCGCTGCACAAGGTTGTCGCCCAAAGCGATTTGATCAACTGATGACTGTGGTCGAGTTGGAATTTACGAGAACCAGTTTTTTCCAGTCAACACACGTCTTTAATCCACATATGACCAAGCATTTAAATTAGGATGGAAATAGTCATGCCCCCTGGTTTTGAAACGTTGCTTGGCGACGTTCCAGCCAACTTTGTAAGCTTTGACGTCAATTTATTACCACTTTCTGATCACGTCACGTGCAAACTTCCTGGAAGGGGCGGATTCAATGGTTGATTAAAGGTTCTGAATGCGCTTGAAGCGCTCAGTTTGATGTTTAGTAAGCGAGGAGACAAGAGTTCAGCAGCCATTGTAGACTACTTGGAAATCCTCGAAGGACGGCATCTTGTAATGTACTACTCATAAGGTTGTTGAAAATTCGTCGACAGTCCACGACCGGTTTCGACCTTTTTGAGGCTCATCAGGTAGGCGCAGTCCCCGGGTTTACGTCAATCTTATGTTCTCAAAAAAAACCAAATAAGTTTGCAAATGAGTGTATATTCGCTAATTCCGCGCAATTTGGTTTCAAGTAGAGCATAGGGTTGCCGGAAACTCAAGGACTGCGTCTACCTGATGAGCCACAAAAAATGGCGGAACCGGTCGTGGGTTGTCGACAGATCTTCAGCAACCTTATGAGTAGTACATTACAAATATATACTTGTGTCGCGATATCTCGACTATCGTAGTGACTGAAACATGAGGCGGCCTGGTGCAGCAAATTCAGTTGCCTGGGAACATCACAAACGAGAGGTTCAGCTGGGTTCCAGGTGAGTCTATCGAAAAAACAAATTGGTTTACAAATGAGTGTATATTCGCTAATGGCATCTTCTTGTTATTGTTGGACCTGTCCCTGGAGGGACGATTTTCCTCTTTCTCCAGGATCCGGGGAATCTACGAACAGACACTGTATGAAGCGCTATTTTTCTCTGGTCCTTTGATTTAACTCCATCGCGTACATCTCGGTGGTGAACCGTCATAGAGTTAGTTGTGTCTCCCGCCAATAAAATAATTCATGTTTTTGAGAAGTGAGGTTCACGTGGTAAAAAATGATACGCCGTGTGACATTATGAGTCCCTTTGGGAAATTGCCCGATACATCTTTTGTGGGTGTCCACCGTATTGTGTGGGTTGTTTTTGTCTCACCAATGAGCAGTGGTTTGTTGCTGGTGCCAACTCGGTCAGATAAGACACAAACTATCCGACAATTAGTTATCTTACTGTTCCGTGCTTTAAAGGTGGCCGAGCTATTGGTTACGCCTACACTGAGCCTGCCAGACTACGCGATAGGAAGAAGACAGAGAACCGGAGACACGGACAAAAACATGCAGAGCGTCTGCGTAAATATATGGGATGACCAATTGGCCAAATATGGTCGTTCGTTCATTCGCTCCGTGCAGCCAATGGTGGTGTTCCGGTCGTGAACACTCTCAGGCCCACTACGCTGGTCGTGTGTTGCTAAGCCCTTTTTGGTGGGAGCCGCCAACTCATCTACTTTCCGGACGCGTCGTGCCGATGGGTCCCGATGGTGACCTTGGGGATGCGTCACTCCCTGCACATGTGCTTTTTCATCTGTCTGGGCGCGTCCTGACAAAAGGCAATCGGTCAAAACGCAAATTTTTTTGGATGCCTAGCTTGAAAGTGTTCTATGGGGACTTTGTCAAGTTCACTTGGAAGCTGTTAGTCGATCATGACTTAACGGATGCACTACAATTCGGCATTTTGAAGTTTGGATTTTGTGTTCGCTTATAATGCAAGGTCGTCTTTGAACCAACTAGAGATGTTGCGGAATGATTGTCCCCCTTTGGTGGTTCACTATGGAGGTTTCGGCTGTGTTAGTCAAATGCTCATGGAAGTGCTTCCATTAAAAAAGTGTTCATTCACCAATCCAAAAAATCATCCCAACATCAAACACACTACTCAGTAAAAACCTCATAACTTGAATGAGGACTATAACAGTAGACTGGATATCGCTGGCGGATCAGAGAAGCAGAATAGCCTGAGTACTTGTTTGAACAATAGGCCTGGGTTTTCTACAGACAGCTGCGGTTGAAATGACCTCGGTCTTGTGTTGATGACGGATATAGAGAGTCACCCTGCGGGCATAATACATCCAATCGTTCATTGTGTCTAGACAAGTTCACAGGTCCAGAAGGATAGAACTAAAACCCGAACTCAGGGTGGTCTGCTTCGGGTAAACCATTGTTTTGAATTACTCGGAAGTTGAGATTTAATGTTCATATTTATATGGCCATGATTTAGATGGAGCGCGAGATGATTCAGTGGTTGGAGCGGAAATTTACTGACTGGAAGGACCGTGGTAAGAGTCCAACCTCCGCTTCTCGACCGCTTCTTTCAAGACTTGGACAACCTGTCATCATCGGGTCTCGTCCAGATGGCATAACAGGCAGGCATCCGAAGGAAGCTACAACTTTGTATGCTTTGGTCCGTTTTGTTCCTCAAGGCGCAAGTGACGAAAGGTTACTTTTGGCTCGGTTGTAGCTATACTTCCCTGATGGTATGTGAAGTAAGCTGAATGCATCCGCCGTAAATCGAGGCCAAGCCTTTAGGTCTTCCCATCTTTAAGCCCTCTAATGCCCCCAGCGCAAACGTTGCTGCAAGGCAGTTTGTTATGACCAGGTCCGGAAGTTCCAAGGATGCCGTCAGTCATTACGCGCTCCAAGTTCGTAAAATCGATTCCGATTCTGATTTCACAAAATCAATGAGGGTCCCGTCAAATTTCTAACCAACGTATCACAAATAAACCGATCACAGATGTTGCTATTGAGATAAGACTGTTGTGTGCAATAGGCCAGTAGTATTGAGGAGCAAGGTGCTGAAGACCCCACGTGATACACAGAAACAGACGCAGCTAAACACTGCAAACGAGACGGGATTCATGGTTTAACCTGACAAATACTGACTACTGGTGAGTAGTCAAGATGCTCCATCCGGTTGGGCATGATTACCTGGACAGAATTTTCAGAAGATTTTTAGGTTACAGATGTGGTCAGACACTAGATTCCTCGTGGAGCTGATTAGGTGGGTACGGAGGGATCTGACAGGCGGTCCTTTGTGTCTTGGCTTTCTAGAACTTCCGGTCACGGGACACTGAGTAATCCCTGCAAAAGGAGTTTTTTCCTCTTTGATGTGTCCCTAGTAAAGTATCGGAGGAGTGTACGAAAAAACACCTGCACAAATGCACGTTAGTCAAACCACTAGACGTGAGACAACCTTTGCTTACCTCCCTCTTGTTATGAACCAGGATCATACGGCTGCTTGTAAACACTTTGATTTGTGAAGTGTACCTAAATTTCAAGTATAAATCTATCAAAAAACAAACCTCAACTAATAAAAAATGTTGGAGCGATGTTTGGCAGTATAAGGTTTGCGATGAATCAACTGATAGCCTACGATCAATAAATCGATTGTCATACGCGAACCAACGCACTGAAACCTACGGCGAACCTGATCGGTTTTAAAAACCGACTGTGAGCAAGGCAAAATAGATGTGTAGTATACGACCTATGAGAATAGCGCATGTCACTGGTCTACACAGGAACAAAATATATCTCATCAATTCAACTTTTGATCCATCACAGGAAATGGGACTTCAACCAATAGTTTTTTTCAGATTCACTGTTCTGGGTTTGTTCAATAAGTAGCAGCCACGTCAATTAGAACAGACCTGAATTGTTCGGAATAGTGTGAAGCTAAAATGAACTGACAAAATTCTGCTGTTTACCGACAACGTTGCGGCGTATACTGGTAGAATAAAGCCTGAAGCTTTCCCACACCATAAGGGACGTAACCGCTGACCTATTCAGGACCATTCTCCGTATGTCGGATCGCCAAGCCTCAAGACGCCGCGACCAGCTACTCCAGCAGGCCACTGTAAACCGGTGTCATATACATTTTGCCCAACTTTCCTTCAGGTATGGTTGCATTCAATACGTACCGTAAGCAATGCTCGACTGAACAGATGAACAGACTGAACAGACTGAACAGATTTTGCAATACTACTCTCAGAGTGTACATAGTGGATACTACTGAAAGGAGGCGAGATGGCTCAAGTGGTCAGAGAGCTAATTCACTAACCGAAAAGTCCTTAGTTCGAACCATACCACTGCTTCTCGACTTCCCCTGTCTAGGCTTGGGCAATCTGGCAGCTCTATTTCTCAGAAAGCATTGGCTGTTTTCAACCTCTGTTACTCGATACGTAAACTGAGAATGCAGGTAACTGTACTGGTATACCAAGAAGCGAGTAGTCTCATGAGTAGTAAATTATGTCTTCCGATATCCTAGTCATATGATCCAAATAGACTCACACAGCCTATCGCTTTTTAGGAAAAAATAAATTGTTCAGCTGTAAAACCCTTCAGTGCCTAGCTGTCATGTCACCCAAAGGGAGCATGAGGGCTTGGGTACTGCCAGCCTAGGCAACCTGGCAGTATCCCAGCCCTCGTGCTTCCTTCGGGTGGCATGGCAGTTGGGCATCGAAAATGTTCCACAGCTGAACGATCAATTTTTAGGCGTCAGAGTTACTAAGTTGAAATGTTAAGAAATGGACAGTTGACAAAATGAGTAAGAATAAACAGTAAACTTCAAAGACCCGCTGTGCGAATGTTGGGCGACGCATTGCGCAACACCTGAAAAGCTAATTACAAATTTAGACATGTCTAAAATGCTGTTCTTATCAGCGTAGTATGTTCACTAGGTGCGATTCGACCACGTTTGCGACAAGGAAAACCTCAGAAAGTGCCAACATTCGAAGGTGCATTTATCACGTTTTTGGTTGTGCTCAGACGAAAGGTACCGTCTTCAAGGTAACTGAGTTCGAGTTGGCGAAGCGTTTAGAATTTTGTGTAATTTTTGCGCCTGACTTTGTAGATTACGACTTTGCAAACCGCTTGTTTGTCTACCTTGGAAGGGATCATCGAAACGGTTTGGAGTATAGATAACAAGAGATGAACTATAGGATATAGGAAATTAAAAAAACTGTGACCGAAGAGACGAAATGAAGCTCACCTCATCTTGATAAATGAGGTGAATAGACTGGCATCAACAGAACACGACAGAACGTGTCTCATTTTGCTCCAGAATTCTCACTGGAGCATAAAACTGATGTGGCGTTTGTCGTTTGACACATCAGAATACTTGAGATGTGACTTTTATCATGTTCACCACATGGCAGTGAGCCAGAGTTACATCATCCTGATAACATGTTAAAACTATTCAATGATGCGACCGTTTCTCATATAATCCGACTAGAATCTTGATTAAAAGTGTACGGGATAAAGCGCCGATTGGAAAACATGAATCTACGATAGTGAAGTCTAATTAAAACGCAATACTTTCAACGCAACAGTGGTGAAACTTGTTGGTAGTGTAAGCAGACTTGAGAAGGAGATTTCGTGAAGTTGCTGTTTCATCCTTATTGGGAATCAACAGCATTGCGGATCTTACGAAACTTCGCTACCTCCCGGTTAGTGGTTTGAAAACTTAAACTGTCGACCGCCATAGCCTGATCAGAACTGTGGCTAACACGTCCTTTGATACGATTGGGGGCCACTCAGCCATCACTCAGGGCAACCACGTATTGATTGGCTCTGAGACTAACGACTTCTCAGATGAACACCTCACTCGTTCTGTGGAATTATCCATCCTCTGAGGTGCGCACTGCTTGTGATTTCCAACAAGAATGAAATAACTGCACAGTACTTCTCAACTTTTTTGTGGCTTACTGCTGAAAGCTCTTCAACAACCCATTAAGGCTGTTGAACCCTTCATGGGCTCATCGGATACGTACAGTCTCCAGTTCGAGTGAAAACTCGGGTACTACGCTTGTCTGCTACGAGTGAAAGTGAGAAGGCCTTCGCTGCGGAGTTATTTATTAGCAAATGCCAACTGACCAGTTACAGACAAAAACCGGACATCCATATTCTCCTGAATGCGTCCTCCTGAACTTTCTGGATATTCATTGGCTCCAATCATCCATTGCTTAAATCCAAACAAGTGCTACAAAGCGACTCCACAAATTCCGCAACATATCTCTCTTTTCAAAAGACGCAAAGCGGATTTACAAGAACAACACGTACTACTCACATGCCTCCTCATCAGTAGTATCACCGTTACACGAGTAGTGGACTGCCAAATAGTTTTAATCAAACTCCTGTTTAATTTCATTCCAAAAAGCATTTTGAATGGAACTGAAATTGTGATGAACTCAATTTTCGTCCGCAAATGGCATCCAACCACTGATTTCTTCGGGTGGAAGTTTGCACTATTCGGCTTTTGTCGAATGCTCCTCGCATGTTCAGGTTCACGCAGGTATATATAAGAGCTCTCAGAGAACACAAGACGAGTTGTATTCTAACAAAAAAAGGCCCCACGTATGGTGGATGACACCTGAAGGAACCCGTTCACATCGGCCGTCACCTCAGCTTTCAAAAGACTTGGCAAGTGCCAACAAATCGCGTGCCGTTTGACATAACTATTTGGAAATACCTAATACTTTGGAAGAGGTAACGAAGGGAATTTACTTCAAGTGATCCATTTCCGTTTGCTAGAATGTGCGGATGGGATTTCCAGTTGCCTTGAAACACACTGAGCTGCACAACGGAAGAATCTTGAACGATGCATCCACCCCTGTCTGATCAGCAGAAACGTGTTTGTGTCTTATAGATTTTTCAAACAGTCAGCCATAAGCAAAGAAACATATCCAGTCAGGAAGATACACTATGGATACAAACTACTGCAACCTCTTTCCCGGTAAATCGTTTATTTCCACCCATCAAAGACCACTTTTCAGTGCGAAGCCTCTGAGACACCTACCCGAACGCAATCAGAAACTCTTTTGGGATAACGAAGATCCGGTCATTCAGTATCAAGTAAATTCCCACTTACTGCGTTTAATCGAGTTAGTGGAACCATTTTGAAATCCGTGTTTTCCAAGTCTAATGAGGACGTCACTGCAAGAACGAAGTTTGGCGTACACGACTACTTTATAGTGAATCATGGTATGGTACGGTGGGGCACAAAATTTCGGGATAAAATGCAAGGTTTGGAACAATCCTCATGCGAGAGATCGAACCTAAGTAACCTTAATTATCTGGGGCAGTTAATCCACAATTTGGTTTTGTTCGTCATAATCTGTTTTTGTTTAGTGTTTCAGTTCGTACTCGAGTACATCTTAAAAGTGGCGATTTGTCTCAAACAACTAAGGAACGGTTTTCTCAGCAGTGTTTTCACAAAGTGCGATAGAGGAGTGTAGAGTAGTGTCCTAAATCAACAACACATTAAGGTGAACTTGAGGTGACGCGCATCTTGATCGATCGCATGTGAATTGTGCGCCGACCACATGGTCACATGATCGCGTGGATCTGCTCTGGACCAATCAGGTTTCAGCTTATCTGCACATGCGCACGTGCATTCAGAGAAGTTGCAAACACATTTGAATTTGGATGCGAAATTTACGGCCAGGGTTCAATAGGCAACAGATGGATTACTAGTCAATTTCGTTAACTTTGTGGCTGCTCACGGTTATGAGGTAGCAGTGTAAATGCAACCCCATCTGCTGGTAAGTCACTCTCCTCAATGAGATCCGTTTGTTCACAAGATCCATTTTGTGCACTGTGCAACAATTTCATGCAGTTGGTAAACCTCAATCAAAGCAAGGCAAAAACTCAAGCTTCCAGAAAATACCAGTCAGAGTCGGTACTGTTTGTCCTCTGTAGTAAGATCATCAAGTGTACATGTGTGAAGGTTTTGTTGGCAATAGATCTCATCTAAATGATAGCCTTCATTCTTGATGTGGTCAAATCTTTTTTGTTCAACGCTTTTCGTTTCACGCCGAGTTTGACGCTAGCAGATTCACAAAGCTGCTAACCCAACGGTTCTGTACGGACTTGAGAGCTGAAGATGTGCCGGGTATATTGTGTTTCGTCATGGGTCTTTAAGGACTTGGATGAAAGGCAAGATATACACATGGTTCAGACAAACTCGTGTGAATAACCGTTCGCTGTTATTGTTATCACCCTCCAAAACGAGTGATTTGTCACGAGCAATCAGAATAGTTGGACGTATCATTTGTTCTCGTAAGACTATAGGCTACACTCAAAAGCCGGTTTCAATCCTAGCAGGAGGTACATGGTTTGAAATGGTCGAGGTCATACCGTTAGTTTTACATGGCTGTGAAATAGTTGCATCGGGGAGTCTGAACCCTCTCGGACGGCAGACTGAGAAAGTTAAGGGCTCCCTCGTGAGACGAGAAATCTGTGATTATTACCCAGTCAGTCAAGTAAACCGCATCCTGAACTGAGTAACATCATTATAACTTGATTCTCAACCGAAAATGAATTCAGCAAATCGTTGTCTGAAGTTCTTACAACAATTATTGTCAATCTTGCTGTCCGAGGTTTTGTTAGTCGAGTGTGCCAACTACGAACTTTGAATCGATACTTGTTTTCTTCACCGATCAGCGGTAGGTACATTCGCAAGTAAACCGCATCCTGAACTGAGTAACAGGGGAATGCGGCTCAGCTCCGGAGATTCCAAACGCTTAAAGGTGAACCATATCCTCGACTGATACACTCAACTGGGCACAAATTTGGTTTTGACGGGAGATTCACCTGGAATCCGGCTGAATTTCTCTTAAGCAACTGACTTTGCTGCACCAGGCTGTCTCACGTTTCATTCGGCACGACATTCGAGATATCGATATGCATCGCATAGACGTAATACACTACTCACGCGGTCGCTGAAAAATCTTTGCCAGTCTACGACCGGTTTTGCCTTCTTGGGTCTCATTAGGTAGATGCAGTCCCCGAGTTTTCATCAACCTTATGTTCTACTTGAACCCAAATTGCACTCAACTGTATATCAATCTGGCTTTGACGGGAGACTCAACTGAATCTCTCGTTTAGGATGTTCGCCTACAGGTGTAGAAGATCCGGCGTTTACTGCGCTGTGATTCAGTTAGTGCCTATTTTGAAAATATTTAGAGAACAGGCTTATTCGTTTACCTCAGTTTTCGCATTAACCTGCATGGTCTTTGAGACAGAATTTTTGCAAAGCGCACCCTCCAAACACAGGGGGAATAAGTAGGTCGGGTCGTTACACACATAATACGGAATCTGGTCAATTATACGACGCACAAAAGGATAAATAACGTTGATTCGTGCAATACACTCACTTGCACGCTGATTTGGTTTGAAAGAAAGACTCATGTAAACAACACTCAAGAAGTTTTCAGCAGCCTTATGAGTAGTATGTTCCACCTAGATGACTCTGATTCTTCATTAAGCTGAACAACTTGTTCAAGCCTATTTCTATCAATAACCTACTCATTTTTTAATTTTTTATTCTTTTCATACCCATCCAACCCATTTACCCCACATTATCCGTTATGCTACCTTTGTCCGGAGCTTAATTCTTCAAAACCAGTTGAGTGGAAACTCTTACGCTCAACGAATGACAGCCATCATTCACACACCGTTGCACTTCCGGTTGCACACCGTTGCACACCGTTTGCTACGCAGTTGACAATCACCATCACTTTTATGCCACGACGCACTGAGATTGAACTGGGTTCGAATTGCCCCACATTTCTTCACTTTCCGTTTCGCTGGCATCCATTTGGAAGAAAAATTGGCAGTTTCCCTTAAATTTTTGGATTTTTTTAAATTTTATTCACTCTTGGAAATGAATGTGTAAATGTTGAGTCCAGCTCACCTATGAAGACGTCTTCCAACTACGCACCACAGGAGGACAGCCAATATCTTATCGTGATTACTAACTTTCACTCAGCACTCTTTGACATTACCCTAACTTGAATTGACATTTTCCCCAAAGAAGACTACTCACAAGGTTGCTGATAACTCTCCGAAATCACAGGACCGGTTTCACCCTTCTTCGGGCTCATCAGGCATCATAAACGAGAGATTCAGTTGAGTCTCCCGTCAAAACCAGATTGATATACCGCTGAGTGCAATTTGGGTTCAAGTAGAACATAAGGTTGATGAAAACTCGGGGACTGCATCTACCTAATGAGACCCAAGAAGGCAAAACCGGTCGTAGACTGGCAAAGATTTTTCAGCGACCGCGTGAGTAGTGTATTACGTCTATGCGATGCATATCGATATCTCGAATGTCGTGCCGAATGAAACGTGAGACAGCCTGGTGCAGCAAAGTCAGTTGCTTAAGAGAAATTCAGCCGGATTCCAGGTGAATCTCCCGTCAAAACCAAATTTGTGCCCAGTTGAGTGTATCAGTCGAGGATATGGTTCACCTTTAAGCGTTTGGAATCTCCGGAGCTGAGCCGCATTCCCCTGTTACTCAGTTCAGGATGCGGTTTACTTGCGAATGTACCTACCGCTGATCGGTGAAGAAAACAAGTATCGATTCAAAGTTCGTAGTTGGCACACTCGACTAACAAAACCTCGGACAGCAAGATTGACAATAATTGTTGTAAGAACTTCAGACAACGATTTGCTGAATTCATTTTCGGTTGAGAATCAAGTTATAATGAGATATAGCCGCCTCAGCAACTTTCACGTCCCGGTTTAAGGCTTGGTCCCACTTGACTGACTGGGTAATAATCACAGATTTCTCGTCTCACGAGGGAGCTCTTAACTTTCTCAGTCTGCCGTCCGAGAGGGTTCAGACTCCCCGATGCAACTATTTCACAGCCATGTAAAACTAACGGTATGACCTCGACCATTTCAAACCATGTACCTCCTGCTAGGATTGAAACCGGCTTTTGAGTGTAGCCTATAGTCTTACGAGAACAAATGATACGTCCAACTATTCTGATTGCTCGTGACAAATCACTCGTTTTGGAGGGTGATAACAATAACAGCGAACGGTTATTCACACGAGTTTGTCTGAACCATGTGTATATCTTGCCTTTCATCCAAGTCCTTAAAGACCCATGACGAAACACAATATACCCGGCACATCTTCAGCTCTCAAGTCCGTACAGAACCGTTGGGTTAGCAGCTTTGTGAATCTGCTAGCGTCAAACTCGGCGTGAAACGAAAAGCGTTGAACAAAAAAGATTTGACCACATCAAGAATGAAGGCTATCATTTAGATGAGATCTATTGCCAACAAAACCTTCACACATGTACACTTGATGATCTTACTACAGAGGACAAACAGTACCGACTCTGACTGGTATTTTCTGGAAGCTTGAGTTTTTGCCTTGCTTTGATTGAGGTTTACCAACTGCATGAAATTGTTGCACAGTGCACAAAATGGATCTTGTGAACAAACGGATCTCATTGAGGAGAGTGACTTACCAGCAGATGGGGTCTATAACATATCTCTATAGAACGTTGAAACTCGGTACAACTGAAATTGATTACGGTATGGGACCATGGCCAATAGATCACTTCTCCCTCCTGGAAACAGTACAGGTCAGTAAAGTCATGAAGAGTGATAGGATTTAATGCTTTAAAAAATTTTCGCGATTCGCATTTTCCCCAAAAGTGATGACCAAATTTTTCCGGCCACCAACTACTATCAGAAAATCACCTTTGGTTGCTGACATCTTCTGATTCGTCGGCGAACCAAAGACAACCAAGCACACTGACATGTGATATTCCGCTTCAGCCAATGAAAAATGCGGATTGATTTCAACCGGTCAACCACTGTCACTGTAAACCACAAGACTTTGAGACATGACGAACCATGGTGCAGCCACTCTGGACGAAGACTTTGACGGAAGTTGGAAAAGACCCGTGGCTCGCTTTTGTTTCTCTAGTACTAATGTACTAGGTCTTCTGTTTTAAATGACTTACATCTCAAGAAGGAGACATCTTCATGGTCGACGGGAGTGTATTCCACCTTCGGACAGCTTGGAGTTAAGAACTCACGCTCCTCATAAGGAGTTTCGTTCCATTTAGGTTAGCAAACTATCGTCCAGGACTTCATGGCTGATTGAATGGTCTAGCCGGTAACTATTCTCACTGCCGTAGTGAAAACCCAAGGCAAGAAGGATACTACTCTTACTGTCACATCAACCACTGGCAGCTACCTACCAACAGAAACTGCAAAAAACACTGAAAATCCTCTATTTGTGATTGCTCTCTCAGATTCCTTCCCCTAATAAGGAATCTAGCATGGACCTGTTTGAAATAGAGTCCATTCCTCTAACATCACACTTGTTCGGAGGACGAGAGATTCCACATGTTGCCACGCATGATGCAGCTTGAAACCTCCAACCAAGGAGTCACGTGTTCAAATGCTACATCCCAATCACCTGATGAATCGTGTTAGTAATGGAATGCCTAAAATAGCAAAGATTTGTTAGCTTGGCTTACTTTTAAAAACACAATCAAATATTTGTCCCGGGACATAGTTTTACAGGAATGTTTTAGTCGAAAAATGGTATTTTTGGAGAAAGTTTGTAGTGATTTTGAAAAAAATGTATGGGTTAGCACGTGCAAAATTCTCCGAGGATGTACAACGACAGCTTTGCAGTTGTCAGGTTTTTCACGAGGCTTAATGGCTATTTTCTAGCAATGTATTCTGATCATTGGCTTGTGGATTGTATCGAAGTAAAATACTCAGCTGATCT